GGAGACGAAGGCCGGCCGTGGTGGCAGTGGCCGCCTGGGCCGAACGCTGGCTCTGGTTACGGAGAGGCGCGACGGCTCTGCTGCTGCTCGCTCGCCGGAGCTTTGGCAGAGCCTGGAGCGAGGAGCCTCGTGCAGGCCCTAGCCCAGGCTGGCTCCAGCGAGGGAGCACTCGCGTGCGGGGAGGTGATGAGCTCCCTCGCAGGGCTGCCTGGTGGCCTACAGTCGTTTGAAAGAGCAGAAGAGGGGGTCTGGTCCTCTCCTTGCCCTGCACGCATGGCAGGGACCTCTGTGCATCCCTCCAGCATGCCCCTTGCCCGCTTCTGGCACGTTTTCTTCCACCCTGCTGGAGCTTGAAGAGAGAAGCTGCTGCCACAGACCTGGGTGGTATCTGTGTCCCGGCATCTAGCCAGAGCCCTGGCATCCAGCCTGAGGTGAGCAGCAGGTTTCTTCAAGCCATGGTGCCTCCAGCTCATGCGCCTTTGCAGCTTGCTCCCCGCAGAGGTGTTTACAAGGTCTTACATGCTCTGTCTTGTACAGCCAGCAGGGCACTGGGGTCGTGGCCATGAGACCCACTCTGCCGCTCCTCTGAATAGTTCACGTCCATATCTTTCTGATAAAGGTCTGGGGCTTTAATTTAAGGAATTGTCAGTCATTGTGTTTGGTGTCAGTGGCAGCTGTGCTGCCTCCTCTTAGTCCGGGAGGGCAAGCATGGGGATGGGTGTGATGCTGAGCTTCTGGGACGTCAGACCTCTCCAAACAGCTGCGGTTTCTGTAGCTGATGGTAGAGAGAGGTACTAGCACGGGTTGCTGGGGGTGTCAGGACTCCCAGGTTCGCTACTCACTTGAGTGACTGGCTGAACTCCTGAACCTTTTCTTGCCCTCTGGTCCTTGTCTTAAAAATGGGTGTCATGCTTACGTTGTAGCCTGCTGACTTCGGTGGAAGCTCCTGAGGTGCTGTGGGCAGTGACAAAACCAACCCCAGCCCACAGAGCGTGACGAGTTCTGACAAGGCCTGGTCGTTGCTAGTCCTGGGCCGCCTTAGCGCTTTATCAGCCCGCTTGCTGCTAGCACTCTTTTCCTGGTCTGTCCTCTCACCAGCAGAAATGCGGAAAAACCAGTTCTGTGGTTAATTGCTGCACTTCCCTCCACGCCCATGGGAAGGCCTCCTCCTCCTCCTCCTCCTCCTCCTCCTCCTCCTCTCTCGCAGTCTGGGTGCACTTCGGCCGCTAGCCTCTTCGCCCCTGGCTGCGCTCTGCCAGTCAGGCACTCTGTCAGGCTTTCGTAGTCTTTTGATTAACCTTACAGCCTCTCCCACCTTCCCTCCTTCTGCAAAAACTTCTAGCTGTCTGGTGGCCCTTTCTCCCCAGGGCAACCCAGTGGGTTGCATTGCAGGTGCAGAAGACACAGGTAGCTGCCCTTTTGGCCTGGCCTGGCCCTGCCCAGAGGGGTACCATTTGAACATGATGACTGGAGGCAACGACAAGAGTGTGAAAGCTCTAAAGGAGGTGTGGAGAAGAGCAGAAAACTCTCTGTGCGCAGACTGTGGGAAGCCAGGTGAGTGCCCAAGGGCTGGGAAAATGCTGTTGGAGGAAGAGTCAGAAGCGGAGAGCGGGGGCCGGTTTCCAGTGACAGTTTTGGCCCATTTGAGGCCTTGAGGCAACCTGTGGAGGAAGACAGCGAACAGGAGCAGGGGCAATGCTGAAGTGCGGTTGTTGGAAACTGCGTGTAGCACTGCAGCATGTCATGGTGTGGTTTAGTGCAGGTTGTCTGGACTACGGAGGACCCCGGGGTGGAGGGACAGGAGAGCCATTGCTTTGTCTGGATATTAGTGTCCTCTGGGGATGAGTTAGGAAGGTGGGAGGAAGGAGGTGCTGCTACAGTGCTGGAGGGAAGAAGGACAGGAACACTGTAATGCCAGATGAGCAGGGGCTGTGCAACCGCAGCACTATGGGCTGTAATTGCATAAAAATCTCAAATACAAATCAGGGTCAGGCCCAGCCAGGACCGGACAGGAAAGCTCCCAACAAAATTGTAGCTGCTCCAGAAAGAAGACATGATTCAAAAGGGCATTGTGTCCTCTGTGACTCAGCTCTGAACTGACAACTTGCCACGGGCCCCCCCCACCCCGAGATTTGTTTCACTAAAGGGCTTGCCTTCCTGAAAGGCTATCAATTTGAGGTTCTACAAAAGCTGTAAAAATGCCCATCACACTCCTCCCAACAGGGGCATGTGGACTGTACCACCCAGAACAAATGAAAATTGGGCTAATTAATACCATCTTACCTTCTTAAATTCACCCTGGAGAATTTTGGATTCAAGGTTGCTTTCTACTTCCTGAGCTAAATACTGTTGTGGGTTTGCTGTGCTGCACTAAACAGCTCCTGGAATCTTCTCCCAGAGGTGGTTGCATTTTGATCTTGGATGATTCTTTACACAAAGGGAGTCTGCAGAGTGTTTTGGAATTTGTCAGGGTTCAAGTCAAAAGAGATTTCAGATTAAATAGTTGAAGCAGGGGGAACAAGGCAGTAACAGCTATGCTTTTTCCAGACTGGCATCTGTACTGTGGGTGATAAATAATCAGTAAAGAGTGTTCTCCCAGCTCTCTGTTTCTTGATAGTAGAGGCATATCTCCCATGAAACTTTGCCACTGCTAGTGATACGCTTTTTATACCGTCAGATCCTGACTGGGCATCTTCTACTTTGGGTGTCTTTATATGCCTCAGCTGCTCAGGAATTCATCGCAACATCCCTAGCATCAGCAAAGTCAAATCTCTGAAGATGGACCACTGGGATGACGCTCAGGTGCAGGTGAGATCTTTATTCTCATTGGTATGTCAGATGGGTTGGGGCTAGGCATACACTAATGTGTCCTGGGAAAATCAGGCCTTGGGCCTCACACAGTTGGAGATTTGATCCGGTAAACTGTCCCGGGACTACTAGTTGTGCTCTGAATACTCAAGTGAGGATAATTCCCCATAACCCCCTGGGGGAGGGAGGATGCAGTTGCCTTGTGTGTTGCCCCATGTCCCATTACTTCATGGCTGGGGCAGAGATCTTGCAGTGTATCTTGTCAAGTCCCAAAGGTCCTCATTGCTTCACGTTACCCATTTGCCAGCATCACCGAGTCTCAACTTCTCCTCTTAATTTCAGCAGTGCAAGGGGAAAATCTTGGACAATTCCATGCTCCAAGAAGAGTTTCCAGGTTTAATGTGATCCCCTGGGGATAATGGCATTTATGGGGACTTGAGTTCTCCCTGCTACACGTCCCCCCCCCCCAACCCTACTAGGGGTATGACAAAGTCATACTAGGGGTATGACAAAGTCTCCCAAAGGGCTGAACAAAATAATCTGTATCTCACTGGCTTTGGAGAGGTGCTGAGAGCTTTGGAATGTGTTCCCAAAATGTCTTGCCAAAAGGCATTGTGGTGCTGTGTTTGAACACAGTCTTTCTGGAGATGTGGGGTATTGCAGGAAATCCACTAAATGTGCATGCGCTCAACCCCATGAAAGTGATATTTAAGGCATTCTCTTGGTTCAGGTGCAATCAGTGTAACTTCTGAGGGTAGACAAGACCTTTGAGACCCACATTTCTTTGGCCAAACTTCACTGGGATGTTGCAGTGGAGGGGAAAGAGAGCGGTCCGTTATGGCTCAATGCATATCTGCCCTCTCATATATCAGGGAAAAAAAGGCTCAACATGAGTCTGCATCAAAGGGAAAGCACTAACGCTCTGTCTAACTTTACAGTTCCTGGCCCAGCATGGGAATGCTGTGACTAAAGCCACATACGAAGCTCACATCCCTATTTACTATTACCAGCCAACCTACAATGACTGCCAGTAAGTTGCTGTATATAAAAGAAAAGGGGGAAGGGCAGTTCCTGTAGTTTGTGTCTGAGCTACCTGTCGTGTTTCTCCCTAGAGTGCTGAGAGAGCAGTGGATACGGGCCAAATATGAACGCAAAGAATTCACTGAGCCAGGAAAACAGCTGCCATACTCTGATGGTAAGAGCAAAGCACAGCTTCAAAATGTCCTCCTTGTTTCCTTCACTGGAAGCTTTTGAGCAGCAGGAGGAGAAAGCTCATAGTGCCAGTGTCGCAAATCCCACAACCAGTACTCTTGAGAACCTGTCTGGTACTTAAAGGGCATTGTTGTGGGGAAGTTTAAATTGTGGGCAGTGTAGGTTGGTATTGCCATGAGGTGCTTCCAAGCCTGGCATTACCAGTTGGCACTATTCAAAGGCATTCGCTGCTGGTAGAGCCAGACCTCTGCAGAAAGGAAGTTCTG